GGTCTGTTCCACAATCAACTCCTGGCCTAGTTTTCACAGCTGATATTGGGCTTCTCCAGCGGTTCTTTCCACAGATGTAATTGATCTGATTCCTATGTATACCATCTAGTTGGACGCCTGTAACCCCTCCCGGAAATATAACATAACATAACACAATACAATACAATCAATATTGAAGACTACGATCCTTGTTCTATTGCAGCAAACAACCAGGCCCTCCTCAGTTTCAGCAAGCAAGGTTATGTTATTTGCATAATGAAGGCTTTTAATGAGTCTTCCTCCAATTCTGATGCCATATTCCCCCACATAGAATCCTACCTCCCAAATGATCTGTTCTGCATACAGATTTAAAAGCTATGAAAAAAAAAAAAAGGTATGGAGACAGGATACATCCCTGACACACTCCTTTCCTGATTTTGAACCATGCAGTGTTTTCTTGCTCTGTTATGAGGACTGCTTCCTGGTTCAAGAATAGGTTTCACATAAGCACAATCAAGTGTTCTGAGATTCCTATTCTTCTTAAGGTTAACCACAATTTTTTTGTGATCCAAAGAGTTAAATACCTTTGCATAGTCAATGAAATACAGGCAGACATTCCTCTGGTAGTCTGCTTTCTGCTAAGGTTCATCTGACATTGGTGATAATGTCCCTAGTGCCACAGCCTCTTCTAAATCCAGCTTGTATTTCTAGTAGTTCTCTGTCAATGTACTATGCCATTCATATTTGGATAATATTCAGTAGGATTTTGCTTGTGTGAGTTATTAGTGGTATTGTTCAGTAATTTCCATACTCTGTCAGATCATCTTTTTTTCTTAAAATGGGAATAAATATGAATCTCTTCAGGTACTTGTCTTCCAGATTTCTTGGCACAACCTGGTGAGCACGTCCAGGACAGCATTTGTTTGCTGCTGGAATATGTCAATTAGTATGCCATCAATTCCTGGGCATGCACCTTGTTTCTTGCCAATTCGTTCAGAAAAGCTTGAACTTCCTCCTTCATCACTATTGCTTTTTATCATATATTGTTTCATAAAATAATTTTGTGTCAGCCAATTCTATTTTGTACAGTGACTCTATGTACTCTATCTTCTTCTGATGCTTCTGGATCATTTAATATTCTGCCCGTGTTGTTGTTGTGTACCATTGAATTAGAACTGCCCCATAGCTGACTCTTCAGGGGGTTTTCAGAGGCAGTCAATTGCATGGGAGGAGACTGCCCGTCCTTCTCCACATAGCAGCTGGTGGATTTAAACTGCATGCCTTCAGGATTGCAGTGTGTTTTCTTACTACTAAGCCATAGCATCCTTAAAACCTTAGCTACTCAAAACTTGACTTGCTCTTCAGTTCTTTCAGCTTAAAAAACACAGAGCGAGCTTGTCCCTTTTGGTTAGCATTATGCCCTGAATCCGCCACACCTTAGTTCTCAAAATCGCACCATTGCTCCTCAATGATTTGTAGAGGTTGGCAAGTCTTAGGTCTGTGGGTCAAATGTGAGACTTCTCCTGACTCAAGCAGCTGCAAAGGCCAATGAACCCAAGATCAGCAGGTCAGAAGGTCAAATGCTGACTGTGGAAACTGACCAGCCCGAGACTGCGGCGGACTGCTGGCTTTGGAGGCTAACAATCATAGCTCTTTACCTAAGGTCTGGGAGGGTTTTCAGTTCAGGGCCTCAGTATTCCAAAAACACACACTATCCCTCATTGGTTCAAGTCCAAAGAAGTCAGATGCAGGATCCTGACTGATCAAAAGCTAGCTAGCTTTGCCAGAATCTCTCTTTCTCTCCTCTTCTCTCCCCCCCTCCTTTAAACAGGTAGATGGATGGATACATACTTAATTCAGGCCACTGCCCTAAGAATAAATCTCCTACATGGAATCAAGGCTGTGACTAAATTAAGTGTGCTGCCTCCTACTCTAATCCTCTTGTATTGTGCTGGGGTGATCATATCAGACCACATCATGAGGGATTAATTATATAACTGCTACATTATATTATCATGTAAATGGCAAGACAGAGAACCATCACCAAGTTAACACACAATCTTAACCATCACAAGGCCCCACACTGCCTATGCATTTCCTCATTTACATTAAAGTTGCCATGGTAGGGCTGGCTCAGCTGTAGTGCAGAACTGTGTGGACCTCTCTTCTGGTAAACACTGACCTATAACCAAGTGATATGGGATGAGATGTCCTAGTCCTCATGGCTAGTCCTTATGGGCAGCTGTAATCTGAACCTGGGAAGGGAAGCTAAGATTTCCATATAACACATGTGGATGACAAATGCAATCAGCCACACCATCTCAAAGGTCTCAAAGGTATGACGATCAATATTGTATTAGAAGTACTTGCTAGGGCAATACAACAAGAGAAGGAAATAAAAGGCATCCTGACTGGCAAAGAGATTGTTAAACTGTTGCTTTTTGCAGATGATATGATAGTGTACACAGAAAAGCCCAAGAACTCAAGAAAAAAACCTGTTAGAGCCAGTACATCAATTTAGCAGAGTGATAGGATATAAGATAAATATCCAAAAATCAGTGGGATTCCTCTATAGTTACAAAGAGAACTCAGAGAAGGAAACCAAGAAAGCAATAACATTTACAATAGCCAACCACAAACCAAGATACTTGGGAGTGAACTTAACTCAAGATACAAAAGACCTAGACAAAGAAAACTACAGAACATCTCCGCAAAACACAATAAAAGACCTAAAGAAATGGGAAAATGTGTGCTGTTCATGGATAGGAACACTCAATATTGTGAAAATGATAATTCTACCAAAAGAAATCTATATATTCAATGCAATCCCAATACAGATCCCAAATTCATTTTTCAAGGAGATCGAAAGGGAAATTATCAAGTTTATTTGGAGAGGAAAGAGACCTCAAACAAGCTAAGTACTTCTAACAAACGAAAATAAAGTGGGAGGCATAGTACTCCATGACCTCAAAACCTACTACACAGCAATTGTAACTGAAACAGCATGGTACTGGTACAATGACAGGCACATAGACCAAAGGAAGAGAATTGAGAACCCAGAAATGGACTCATCTATCTACAGTCAACTGATATTCTAAAAGGAAATAAAACCTATCAAATGGAGAAATGACAACCTCTTCAACAAATGGTGGTGGCCAAATTGGATTGCTATCTGCAGAAAGTTGAAACAGGAGCCACATCTCACACCATACACAAAAATCAACTCAAAATGAACCAGAGACCTCGGAATAAAGCTAAAAACCATAAAGCTCTTAAGAGGCAATCTAGGACCAAGCTTAGAAGGCCTAGTCTACAGTATAAATGGACTGATCAATACATCCAGAAATACACAATCTAAAGAGGATAAAATTGATGAATGGGACTTTCTAAAAATTAAATCTCTGTGCTCATCAAAAACTTTTCCAACTGGGTGAAAAGAAAACCAACTGACTGGGAACAAACATTTGGCAATACCATCTCAGACAAGGGCCTCATCACTAAAGTTTACAGAGTCCTACAGGGCATCCAGAAGAAAAAGACTGACAATCCAATTACAAAATTGGCAAAACATATGGAAAGACTTTTCACAGAGGAAGACATCAGAGGGCCAACAGACACATGAAGAAATATTCCAAATCACTGGCAATAAGAGAGATGCAAATCAAAACCACAATGAGATACCATGTCACTCCAGAAGCAGTGGCAAAGTTTAGCAGGGCAGTAAGTAATAAATGTTGGAGAGGATGTGGTGAGATAGGAAAGCGGTGTGGTGTTTTCTCAAAAAGTTGCAAATAGAGATACCATTTGACCCAGCAATTCCACTACTGGGAATATACCCTAAAGAGACCATAAATGACATTC